GGAACTATTAAATAATTAAATTGTAGTAGGGCTAAAATCGTCCAGAAAATTATTCTCATTTGATGTGATATTTAATATATTATAGATTAATAAGTTATTTGTCCCCTAATAATTATTAACTAATTAAATTGGACTATCACAAAACGAAAAGGAAAAGCGGAACACTGGGAAGGGAAAGAGAAATAGAAAGCATAGAAAGCCTTATAGGCGGAAAACCGTGTTAATCACCTAGCGACTTTTGTCTACTGCACCGAAGACAACTTATCCCGTTCACTCTCCGAAATATCATTAGGGTTTTATGCTTTAAACAAACCCATTTCCTAGAGTTTCTGATTTCGCTATTCGGGTTTCACGTATTACATCGCTGCTATAAAACCCATTTCCTAGGGTTTCTGATTTCGCTATTGGGGTTTCACGTATTGCATCACTGCACATATCATGTATCTTTACAGTCTAACTCTTCAACAAGCCACCGGAATCCTATGTGCCATCAATGGCAGCTTCTCGGGCGGCAAAGCCCAGGAAATCATCGTAGCACGAGGCAAAGTTCTTGACCTTCTTCGCCCTGATGAAAACGGTAAGCTCCAAACCCTCCTGTCCGTCGATATTTTCGGTGCCATTCGCTCCCTAGCTCAATTCCGCCTCACCGGCGCCCAAAAAGATTACATTGTGGTCGGGTCGGACTCCGGTCGCATCGTAATACTCGAATACAATAAGGAAAAGAACACCTTCGATAAAATCCACCAGGAAACTTTTGGCAAATCGGGATGTCGCAGAATTGTCCCGGGGCAATACTTGGCCATAGACCCGAAAGGTCGAGCGGTCATGATTGCGGCATGCGAAAAACAGAAACTAGTATATGTTTTGAATAGAGATACTGCAGCTAGGTTAACTATTTCTTCACCTTTAGAGGCGCACAAGAGTCATACTATAGTTTACTCGATTTGTGGGGTGGATTGTGGGTTTGATAACCCAATTTTTGCTGCGATAGAGTTGGATTACTCTGAGGCAGACCAGGATCCCACTGGCCAGGCTGCCAATGAGGCGCAGAAACATCTGACGTTTTATGAGTTGGATTTAGGGCTTAATCATGTTTCAAGGAAATGGTCAGAGCAGGTTGATAATGGAGCTAATTTACTTGTGACTGTACCTGGTGGTGGGGATGGTCCAAGCGGGGTGCTTGTTTGTGCAGAAAATTTTGTTATATATAAGAATCAAGGCCATCCAGATGTCCGTGCCGTGATACCTAGGCGTGAGGACTTGCCAGCTGAGCGTGGGGTTCTGATTGTCTCAGCTGCTATGCATAAGCAAAAATCAATGTTTTTCTTCCTTTTGCAGACTGAGTACGGGGATATATTTAAGGTGACTTTGGACCATGACAATGATAGAGTGAAGGAGTTGAAGATAAAATATTTTGATACAATTCCAGTGACGTCATCGTTGTGTGTCTTGAAGTCTGGGTTCCTGTTTGCTGCATCAGAGTTTGGGAACCATGCCTTGTATCAGTTTCGGGCAATAGGAGATGATCCGGACGTGGAGGCCTCATCAGCTACATTGATGGAAACAGAAGAAGGATTTCAACCTGTATTTTTCCAGCCTAGGAAACTGAAGAATCTAGCTAGGATTGATCATGTTGAGAGTTTAATGCCAGTAATGGATATGAAAGTCATTAATCTCTTTGAGGAAGAAACCCCTCAAATATTTTCTCTTTGTGGTCGAGGTCCTCGTTCATCCCTGCGGATATTGAGACCGGGTTTGGCTATCAGTGAAATGGCCGTATCGCAGCTACCAGGTGTTCCAAGTGCAGTGTGGACTGTAAAAAAGAACGTTAATGATGAATTTGATGCTTACATTGTTGTTTCATTTCCAAATGCCACTCTTGTGCTTTCCATTGGTGAAACTGTTGAAGAAGTTAGTGATAGTGGGTTTCTTGATACGACACCTTCACTTGCTGTTTCTTTGATTGGTGATGACTCTTTGATGCAAGTCCATCCCAGTGGTATCAGGCATATTAGGGAAGATGGTCGTGTTAATGAGTGGAGAACGCCAGGGAAGAGAACGATTGTTAAGGTTGGGTCTAATAGGCTTCAGGTTGTCATTGCCCTGAGTGGAGGGGAGCTTATATATTTTGAAGTGGATATGACTGGGCAACTTATGGAGGTTGAGAAGCATGAAATGTCGGGAGATGTTGCTTGTTTGGATATTGCTCCTGTTCCTGAAGGAAGACGGAGATCACGTTTCCTTGCTGTTGGATCATATGACAATACAATTCGTATCCTATCTTTAGATCCTGATGACTGTATGCAGATTTTAAGTCTGCAAAGTGTTTCATCACCTCCAGAGTCTCTCCTATTTCTTGAAGTTCAGGCTTCTACTGGTGGTGAGGATGGCGCAGATCACCCTGCAAGCCTCTTTCTGAATGCTGGTCTACAAAATGGAGTTTTGTTCAGGACAGTAGTGGATATGGTGACAGGCCAGCTCTCAGATGCCCGCTCTCGGTTCTTAGGACTGAGAGCACCAAAGCTCTTTTCTGTTATAGTGAGAGGGAAAAGAGCTATGCTTTGCTTATCAAGTAGACCTTGGCTCGGTTATATACACCAAGGACATTTCCTCCTAACACCCTTGTCGTACGAGACTCTTGAGTATGCAGCATCTTTTTCGTCAGATCAGTGCGCAGAAGGTGTGGTTGCTGTTGCGGGTGACGCATTAAGGGTTTTTACCATTGAGAGATTGGGAGAAACCTTTAATGAAACTACTATACCTTTGAGGTACACCCCTAGAAAGTTTGTGCTTCAGCCAAAACGGAAGCTTTTGGTAATAATAGAAAGTGATCAGGGAGCATTTACTGCAGAGGAGCGTGAAGCTGCAAAAAAGGAATGCTTTGATGCTGCTGGAATGGCGGAAAATGGAAATGCTGATCAAATGGAGAATGGTGATGATGAAGAGGAAAATCCTCTCTCTGATGAGCAGTATGGTTATCCAAAGGCAGAAGCTGAGAAGTGGGTTTCTTGCATCAGGGTTCTTGATCCAAGGACAACACAAACAACCTGTTTGCTGGAGCTTCAGGATAACGAATCTGCATTTAGCATATGCACTGTGAACTTTCACGACAAGGAGTACGGAACTCTTTTAGCTGTGGGTACGGCAAAGGGCCTACAATTTTGGCCCAAAAGGTCTTTTGAGGCTGGATATATTCATATATATAGGTTTAAGGAAGATGGAAAGGTTCTCGAACTTTTGCATAAAACACAAGTGGAAGGAGTCCCTCTTGCATTGTGTCAGTTCCAAGGTAGATTGCTAGCTGGGATAGGACCTGTACTTAGATTGTATGACTTGGGGAAAAAGAGATTGCTCAGGAAGTGTGAGAATAAGTTGTTCCCTAACACAATCACATCTATTCAAACATATCGTGATAGGATTTATGTTGGTGACATGCAGGAGGTATGCTCTTCAATAATCTAGCTTATATTTATCGCGCAGAATTGATTATTTTTTTAGAATTTGATTAGGAGATTGGAAGGCTTATGTTCTCATAGTGTGGTTGATATCCTATTTAAGAATTTGCATCTGTGTATATTGGAAGCTTCCATTTCTAGGTGTCAATGGTACAGGTTGATGTCATCATGGTGATGTCACAAACAAATTGGAGAATTAAAAGAGGGGTTTTTTTGCAAATAAACAATCCTGTAACATTTGGGCACATGCCCTAAATCTTAATGCTTTCGCATGATTCAAGGTTTTGGCAACTATGTCATTTTTGGTACATGTACGGCTTGGAAATCAAGTTTTTATCAAGATTAAATGCCACTTACTAGTTTATGTTCATTTTATGATTTATATATTTCGATCATTTGTCTATGGAAGCAAAAGAACCTTGACTCTGCCATGTTTAAGCAAATGAGTTTCCAGACAGAAGCTTTTTGTAGTGCAATTCTTGGTTCTCCAGCTTCCATGCAAAAATGTTTAGTTGTTTGTCTCAAGTGGTTTAAGCTAGTAGGAACCAGGAGTTCGTGATTGACTTTTGAGGTTCACAATGTAGTATTTGAAGTAAAATAGGTCTTGATTAACATAATTTTTATTAAATGTATGTTCTTTGAGTGCTTCAAATACAAGAGTTATTTTATCTGGTGGAATTATGATGATTTCAAATACGATGGTTAGGTATTTCGATTTGCAAGTAATATTTTGCTCGTTCAGTTTTCTGCTAAGAGATCTTCACCAGCAGTGTTAACTTTTTTGCAGTCTTTCCACTATTGCAAGTATAGGCGTGATGAAAATCAGCTGTACATATTTGCTGATGACACTGTTCCCAGATGGCTAACTGCAGCACACCATGTAGACTTCGACACCGTGGCAGGGGCAGACAAATTTGGAAATGTTTACTTTGTGCGGTTACCTCAGGATGTGTCAGATGAGATTGAAGAAGATCCAACTGGTGGGAAGATAAAATGGGAACAGGGAAAGCTGAATGGTGCTCCCAACAAAGTTGAGGAAATAGTGCAATTTCACATTGGTGATGTGGTTACTTGCTTGCACAAGGCATCGCTGATTCCAGGAGGTGGAGAGTGCATTATTTATGGGCCTGCCATGGGTAGCTTAGGCGCATTGCTTCCTTTCACATGGAGAGTGCATTATTTATGGGACTGCAATGGGTAGCTTAGGCGCATTGCTTCCTTTCACATCTCGTGATGATGTTGACTTCTTCTCCCATTTGGAGATGCACATGCGGCAGGAGCACCCACCTCTGTGTGGCAGAGACCACATGGCATACAGATCTGCCTACTTCCCAGTCAAGGTAAAGTTCAGTTAATTATCTTCGCCTTGCAATCACTTGATACAGTATTTTTTTCTTAAACCTTTTTTTTTCTTACTTTCTTCCATTTTTTATATTTTTGGTTCTGTGAGCCGATGAGGTGGGGTGGCTGGTTATGGATGCAAATCTTATTAAAGGTGTGTTTGAGCAACATTATTTTGGAAGAACGTATTTTGGAATAGAAGATTGATGGAGAATGTGTGGTTGAAAAAGAAGGAAAAGTTATTGATGTGATGGAAAATATTATTTTATTGAAAGTGTGTGGTTGAAAATGAGAAGAAGAATGAGAATGAAAATTTTAATGTGTGTCAAACAGGGGCTAAGTTGAGAAGAAATTTTCAGATTTTTGAAAAGATAGCGGATTCTGACCCTCCAAGTTGATACTATTTTGATGGCCCAATTTGTCTTGCTAAGAGGGGCTGATATCTTGGTAAAAAGAAACCTGGAATACAATAAGTTCCAATGTGATCTGCGAAACCTCTTACCAAGGTCACTGTGATAGATAGATAGGGACCTTGATTTAGCTTGCCAATTATCTGACTTGTTTCCATTCTTAGATCTCATCAATTACCCTGTTTGTCTCGTGACAAAATTCAATTATGATGATGGAGACATATTGCATCTTTGAGTCATACTCAATTCTTATAGTTTCCAGCTAAAAGCAATAGTTTCAAATGTTATGTACACGGTATGGGTAGCCTCTTTATGGCATCAAGCTGTGCATGTATTGATGAAAAAACTAAACCTGGATGGCAGAGGTTTTAGTTATGGGCTAATGTTCATTGCTAAATACAGATGCTCACACTGCTGGTGCTATAACAACTGCAAATTTCTGACCATACATTTTACATTAAAATATCTGCAATTTGTATCCTTATCTCTGAAGCTAATTTGTCCATAACACCTATTTGTTTGTGATTTTATCCTTTGCAATAAATTTGCAGGATGTGATTGATGGAGATTTGTGCGAACAGTTCCCAACTTTACCCATGGATCTGCAGCGTAAAATTGCTGATGAGTTGGATAGAACTCCAGGGGAGATTTTGAAAAAACTGGAAGAAATAAGGAATAAAATCATTTGAGATTGCACTCATGAAAGGTAAATGTGTCCCTAAGCAATTCCATTAGCGTGTGTTTTGCCTCCATATACTGATATTGTATGTAAATGTCATACTTGTTCACTAGGTTATTTGATGAGGTGCTTGTAATTATCTGTGGTTGGAATCTCATTTTTGCAGTCAGTTTCTATTTTTGTATGTAAGATATACCTAGTTGGAATGTATTATGTCAATGTTTTCTTGCATTTGCTTCTGGTTCATTATCTGATTGAGGAAACATGTATTCCTTAATATAATTTTTTGGGATAAATATTTAATCAAATAAACTGTTGTGTCTGTCACTGACACTCTTTGGACATTCCATGACATATGTATTTTTTCTTCCTCAGCAGCATAATATAGTTTAACGAAAAGTTATTCTAATATAAGAAGTATCTACTCAACCAATATAAAAGATTCCATGAACAAAATATCAAAACTAAGAAAAGAATTGAATGATTTTACTAAAAGATTAAAAATATAAACATGACGACAGGATATATAAATCTACATTTTAAAATAAAAATTTAAATTGACATGACCTTGGCATGTCCGTGTTTGTGTCAGTGTTTGTGTCATGTCGTGTCCGACACGCTAGTCCCTGTCCGTGCAACATATTCTATTGGGATGAGTTTGGAGAAGAATGAACCAGACAGCATGCAGTCAGATCTGCCTTAACTGTGAGACAGGTTAGGTTAAAATCATTGCAGAAGTCTAAAATGCCCAAAATTGAGGGGTTTTAAGGACTCTTCTAGATTTTGTTGCTGGATATTGAGTATCTAAAATTATTCAACCAAGATGGTACACAGTAGAGTTTTCAGACAAAGAAGTAGGGATTATTTATCTGTCGTTCTCATGTCTTCATATCACATACTTTGGCTTTTGGTTTTTTCCTAATTTCATTTTTGTTCAACATCTAGTGTTTTGGGCATCTAGACATCTATCTATGGCTGTGTGGAAAGGAACTATATATACGGCAGTGTTGAGTCATTTTTAAAATGTTAATGTAATTACTAATCAGAGTTGATGCGCACAGGTATGGACAATGACCTTCGTGTAATAGAAGATTGGCCTTGTTGATGCTTAGGATGGTTGTTACAAGATGAAAGCACGTTCAGAAAAATAATGACATATGGTTGAAGAATGAAACACGGGGAAATGTGCCCTTGAAGAAGCAAAGACTCTTACTGTTCCTTGCTCTTGCTGCAGCCTTTATTCACCTTATTTCTGTTGTATTTGTTTTCTAGATTTATAACTTAGTTTGATAATTTCAGGATTTCTTGACATACCCCTCTATGTTTATTCCCCGGAATCTTGTAATCAAGTGAAGCAATACAGTGGGTCCCGAAAAACTTGTACTGGTCTTGATTTGCAGAATTAGAACATGTGAATTGTATGTTGAGCCAGATGCCCTGTTTATTCAGTAGCAGTGTAAAATCAGATGAGTTTAGTTTGAACTCTAGGGTGACAAGGTTCCACCGAACCTTGTGTAGTTTATACACGCTGACGTGATTTGCCTTATAATGGCTGCTTTGTCACTAGAAGTGGGCAAAATTACAGAAATAGAGGTAAGAAACCAGACGACAGTTCCACTTTATTTTTAGCTACATTCTTTAGGATCCACAATTTTTATATGCTTTCAAACTTGACATTATTTGGCATCCAGGGCTCATGAGCACTTCGAAGCTTAGCCAAGCAAGCACCTACTTTCTACATACTTCCGTCTCAGGTAGTTTAGGGCCCTTAAAACAATAGTAAGATTTGAAATATGTTCCCATCGAGAATCTTTCTACAAAATTGAGAAGATAAATGCTACCAATTATCGTTATATTTCATTGTCAATGAGAGAAATTTACATGAGCTGGTTACAACCGACACTCAAACAAATAAGTCCTACATATGGGGCACGACACGTGAGAATAGTATTATGGCATTTCTTCATAATTTCAATTTTTGGGTAGATGGCTCTTCATGCATCTTCGCCTCCCATACCACCGACCGTATTGAATCTTTACTCCATATTTGAATGCAATGAGAGATAAAATTTTCATATTTAGCATTAAACGAAAAGGAATTAGAGGAAGAATTAAAGAATAATACAATGCTGGCCAAAATGATACCAATCAATCCATCATTACATTCTCCAGAGAATTAAGGCCTAAATAAAACCTTGTATTTCTAGTAAAACATGTATGTTATTCTAAAAAATATTGAGACAATTCACGTCTGTTAATCAGAAAATAACAATTTGCAATCATACACCTTCCCAGTGACTAGTATCACTAGTAAAATATAAAGGGAAATCCTACTTGCTGCTACTAATTGCATCTCACCTGTATGCTAGTCAAACAATTTCCTCTCTCACAAGTCGTATCTCACATTCCATTTGCCTCTACTGTCCGCATTGAACGTCCAGTTATTTTCCCTAATTTGGAAGTACGGAATCTGGAATAACAATTATAGAAGCAGTGAGCTAATAAACATATAACATTGAATATTAACGGATAATGTGCAGATTATGCATTTATTACACAAAACACTATACATGGAAATAAAGCGTCTTACTATTAAGGCTACTAGAGAGAATAATTAGTTTCATGATCAAAAACAAAAATGATTATTTGAAATTTGGAAGTATTAAATAAATTGGCTTATTTCAATGAAAGATGTCACTGTCCATGGCTAAGAAACTTTTTTTCAAAAGTACCATGAAGTAACAAGACTGAAGGTGGTAACCGGGATCTTTTTCCTCCTGTTTGATCAATATTTCCTAACCAATTGTCAAAGTAAGCTATAATCATTAGTGTATTATAAGCAAAGGGAAATAACCCCAATATAGAATCTTCAGTGTTCCTCAAGGGAACAGTAGAATAGCTCCAAAATGGATATTATTGTGCCAGTATAATGTGATTTACACATTGCCACCTCTACAATCTCTCAAGTAGAATGCACTTATTATTGAGAGAGTTTTGTAGACAATTAGTCACCCTCGACCCATTTCAGTTTAATCCCTTTCCCTCTGAATGTACTCTTCATGCCAAAATATAAAACAGAAAAGGCAAGGTGCAGTTTAAAATTTTCCCCTGAATTTATTGCATTTAATATATCTAGGATAAGAAATAATTTTTAATCTAGGAACACAAAGAACGCACAAGCACACGGTTTCTCAATTAACTTCTAAATTCAAGATTCAGGATCAATTTGCATCAATAACTAAATCATGAAACCGGACGCTGACCAAAATGACCCAACTTTGCATCAATTTAAATACCAGAATCTTACAGTGTTCAAGTAATATACCTTGTCAACAACTTCATAGCCAACTTTTAACCTCAAATCTTGGTCTTTTTTAAAATTATAGATGATCCAAGTAAATTCAGCTGCTCCTCGGGGCTCCCTCTGCGAAAACATTGTGATGTGCAAATTACTCGAGTAACTTAGAAAATGAAGGTCCTAGTATATAGTTGTGTTGTTGCTTGTGTGAAAAACTGTGAGCATCTATAGTCTCACAGATGGACATAAATTGCAGAAGAAAAGGAACTCCAACCTCTTTAAATTCCTTGTCAATAATAATTCGACCCTTGATGTTAAAGTTTATAAACCCATTGTCAGTCACCGGAAATGCCTTCTTTCCACGAACACTGTACCTTAACTTCTCGTGCCTAGTGTATTGAATACCTGCGCCAATGCTGGCTGATACCTATACATTATCATCAAATATATAAATCTAATATCATTCAGCAACAAAATTTATCAGTAATTATTATTCTTTCTTGTTTCCCCTTTCTCTATGTCGGAATAGGGAAGGGCGCAGGATGCAATTACCCTCAGTTCAATTTAGAAAAAAAGGAAGAAGAAAAGGGAAGGGTTTACATCAGGATAGAAATGCCTTATCATCGCACTAAGATAAGTTGGAGCTCCTATCCTTGTGTCCAGCTCTCCATGAAGCTGCCAATTTGAGTGAACATGCCCATGAGGGAAGATAGTTCAGGAAACTCGTGAGGTTAAAAATAAATATCAAGCTATATTAGTAGCCAGACGCGAATATCTGCATAATTATTCCTTTATTGATATTCGATGTACAATAGTAGTTCAAAGTCAGTCAAACAGACACATAATACTGACGGAAACTTAGTTTGGCCTCAGCAACATTTCCTGCGCGTAAAATTAAACGAAATTCAAAGAAACAAGACAGTCTCATAACAGGTCATGCAGATAATGCACATTATATATACCTTCGTTTTTCCCCTTCTTCTCCTTTCTGGAATAACAACATCCTCCCTCATTTAACAAATGGCAATTTCATATTCCAATATGCATCCACATTCCACATGCTCACTTAATTTTGTACAGACAAAACCTCTAACAGAACATATCACTACAAGGATGTAAAACTAAGCATTTTAATTAAATAAAAAAAAAAAATCTTCAAAACAGTTGGCGATAAGAGCAGGTATGGCTAAGCTTAAAAACATTGCCCATAAGTAAACAAATATGCATTAAAACAATTGTTTTTAGTATTCGAAGTTAAAGAGCTATAATCATTCAAAATTCGATACGGAAATGAAATTATATGTATGTAACGATCGACCTGCAATTGAGTATTGGAGTCGGTGGCGATGGGGTACTTTTCCTTGGCATGGATTCTCAAGGATTTGGAGTCTCCGCCATATCTAAGTGAGCTCTCCATTCTTAGCTATCTCAAATGCTTATCCACTTGACAAAACCCTAATCCTACAACCCTATGACCTATATGGATATGGCAGGCACACGACACTATGCTCTACAACAAACGGTAGAGACACGGAACGTGCGTGTGAGAGAGTAGTTGGATAAATATTTTTCCCTTTATTTGCTATCTTTTGAGTGAATAGTTGTTGTTATTAATTAGTGATTTTAATTTTGAAAAAAATTAAATTTTAATCCCCTACCAAACAGGTTCACATGATTCTAAAAGCTTTTATGATTCATTTACAGGACTTTTACTTTTTGTGGGAAAAAAAAAAAGTTACGCCAACTTCACGCTAACATCTTGTCTCAATTGGCCGATGTTGTTGCACAACCTTGTATTACTCAAAATACAGTCGAATGTCTCTAAAGAAATATCACAAAGTTTTTTAGCAAAGAACCACGTCACTGAATCCCTAATTTATGTTGTTCAAGTCGCAACAAAATTTCGTCCCGACCAATACATAGAAAACGATGGATGATCGAGTTGGGTTAAACACTAAGAAGGTAACCCTTATATTCCTGGATTAGATCTCATCAATTATTTCGAAAAGGTCATCAACTTCCTGCCTCAATAGTGCAATTTTCTGCTGCACTGAAGCAACACGATTCTCAGTTTCTCGTCCCCCCAATTTCTTCTCATAACAATCTACGACCGTGGAGTGTTTCAACATTAGCTTCTCTTGCAGTTCCTTCTCCTTGGCAACCAGCTCCTCCACCTGCATATGAGGCCAATAAAGCTATAAGACCATAAAATGTCGAAATTACCAATATACTCTTATCCCTTTACACAAACATGCCGTTCATGTTTGATATGTACTAAAGACAATATTAGATATTATAATGAAAAATATTATTTTTAATCTTTAACACTATTAGGTACTATATGATCCTACGGTTATAGTTTTAGAAACGACCAGCATTAATGATAAGAAAATCAAAAAGATAGAACATGAACCTTAGATAAAATCTGAACAGCTTGGGGGGAAGATTGCAAGAATGACAACAAGGGTTTCAACTCTTTGGACAGATCCTTAAGCGAACTGTCAGCAGCTTTACGAGCTGCTTTGCAAGCTTGCACATCACCGGTCCTCGAAAGATCTCGTAATGATGCTTCTATTTTGTCATGGACTGCCATACAGCGGTTCATGATATTTTGAAACTGCTGGATTGCAGTTTGTACCTGAAAAATGGATCAGTCTATGATTTCCCTTAACTTGAAAGGTTGATGATTTCTCATCAAACTGATACAAAAAAGGACACTATATAAACTCACCTCATCCCACTGCAGTTTAGCCATATAAGAAGCAGAGGATTTTGAAATTGTCAAGTCTGCATGCATATAAACTATGCATGCAACAAAGAAAAAGAAAAATCCAGAAATCAACATCAATGGCTCCATAAGCAAAGAAAGGCTGTTGAACTTGTAATAGACCTGTGGCAAAATAATATATATCAGCTCGCAACAGTTCCAAAAGCAAAGCCACTGTAAAGCAGAGAAGCATAATGGAATGCCATTATGACAGGACTCAAGACGAATTGGATACACAGACACAAAAGGCCATTGGCATTTAGAGACCAAAACACTCGTATGCAAAACCTGCCATCCTGCTCCATATGGAACCCATTCTCGTACAATGAAAATAGAAAGAAAGCATAACAATCTACGAGTGAATCACTACGAGAGAACATTTCTGAAAATACAGTTTCGGCACATCACCACTCATAACACAATTTATCATGTTTTTATGAAGGAAGAGGTAGGTTAAATAAGAAGAATTATTTTAGTTCACAGGAGACAGAGATTACCCAAGAATATAAGTGCCAACAGCCAGCAAAGGCATCTGAGAGAAGGTAGGAATGTGCTTGCATCACAGAAATAGAAAATTGATGGGTGATGATGCTGGCAAGCCTACTACTGCAGACTCTTGTGAGTTGATGGGTTCCCAGAAGTAGAAAATTGGTGGATGACACAACTTGGGTTTTAAACATGGATCCAAATATTTCATATATAAGCAATATTCTACTTTTAAGGTGCCATATGTTGAAGGCATGTAAAAAACATATAATTCCATAGTTATTAGACACAACCTGAACATCAACATGAACAAGGTACTGGGTCTCGAGTTAGTGGTTGAAGTGTTGAACCGGTGGGTCAATGGTCGGACCGGTGGGGTCATTGCATAAAAATCTATAAAAAAAAAATTAAAGTATAAAAAGTTTTTTAGGCAAATTATATTTTTTTAAAATTATTTTTCACTAGTTATTTAGGTCTATAAAATAAAGTAAAAGGTTTGACCAAAGTTTTTATAAAAATGTTTTTAGAAAACATATATATATATGAATCATTGGATACATATAACTTATTGCACATAAAAAATATTAAAGTACTCTACAACTCCAATGGTGAGGAACTAATTATTTTACTTAGAGGTCTAAGGTTCAATTTCTTGGACCCCCACAAATTTAAAAGGCATTTTTGAAAACGGTTAACTCGGTCAAAGCCAGTTTTTGACCGAGTCATGTGCATTCCTATTAAATTAATCTACCCGGCCTGGGCAAGGGCCCGGGTCACCGGTTTTTCAGCCCAACTGGTCGGGGTCAGGCCGGGTTTTATAACTGTGTATAATTCCACCTAAAAGAGTGAAATTAAGGGATAAAATACATGAAGAGAAATGCTGCAGAATCAAATGCTTAAGTTCTAAGCCATTGACTGGTGCTCAAGGAAAAAAGAGGACAGATCAATCAATGACATTTTCCAGAAATCATGAACAGTGAAAAATTTATCATGCTTGATAACCAGACAACATCCTGGAAAATCAGGGTCAGAAAACATTTTTAAACTCATTTGATGCCTCTCTTCTCAAGTTCAAGTTGATACTACATAATATCCCATTAGCGAGCACACAGCATTTAGCATTCTTGGTTTTCTTTCCATTTTCTCAAACACTTGAAATCATCATTTTCTTATCCGTCTAAGCAAAGATTAATGTCAAATTGTTACTTTTGTTCTCCCACTATAACATTTGACTTCGAATGTACAAACCAACTTCATATATGCAAATTCAATAGGTCATTACAGGGTTCAAAAGAAACTATATCAATAGAGGAGCTAGGAGTGACTGGATGCAAATTTAGGTAATTGAACCATTTAGAATTCCATAACCTAGAATTTTTAAAGTATTCCATTACACTGGAATTTAAAGTGTAAAAGTTCACTTACATGATACTATTATTAAATCAACATACTGATAATAAATGTAGTATACTACGAAGACTATTGCATTTTGTGTTATCATCTAGCATCTTTAATTTCAAAATTACCTGAAAGTATTGATTATGCTCAGGCACAGCGTTTGTCTTTTCCAATACAATTACTGGTCGACCAACCATATCCAAATGGGAAATTTTTGTCTACAATGAACCCAAAAGCAAACATTATATTAGAGGGACAGTTCTTCTTGCACCAAGGAAAGAAATATTTCTAAAAAACTCTTCAGTTCAACCACACCTCTTCTGACTGGTTGACAGGAAATGGAACAGAAACGGAAATATCCTTAGACCCCTCTGGCAAAACAACCTGAAGTCCAAGAAGCCACATAACCTATTAAGTAACCAATCTTGAATAGAGAGCAACAAAAGTTAAAAAATTACAAAACTAATGGTACTTTTTATACCCTCTAATCGTTGCTCAAGGTGACTCATCATTCAACAACTTAGCAAATAATGATACTCATTATTAGCATTATAAAACAACATAAAAGAAAAATAATGGCATGATGAAAGATCATTGATAGAAAGATAACCTGTTACAAACCACCAAGAAAAATAATAATTTTCCACATAACTTGGCAATAAATGGAGTAGTTCCATGAATATTTTTATAAGGCTAGTTTGAAAGTGAACTTCAAAAAAAATTATTTGACTTTTTGAGAGACAGAGAAACCCTATTTTTTCTGTTAATTGCTGAAAACCACTCTGATGTGCTGGACTCTTCCTGTAATCTGTAAAATAATCTGATGAAAGATCATAGAAATGGAAACACACATTATATATCTGGATATGAGAAAAGGACTCTTACATGAGACACCGTTGAATCTAAAAGAAATAAACGCAAATGATGCCATGAACTCCATCTGCCATGCATATGTTACCCACACAGGTGGTGAAATAGTTCAAGAACCAGAGAAAGGCAAAGACAAAGCTGTAAAATTCCAAGATCTTTATTTTATGACGTATTAACATGGTTTTCTGTGATTGCAATATAGTTGGTTCCATTAAACCTTCGGTACATGTAACAGTGGATCGATCGGAACTGCAAAAAAGATTCTAAATGACTCCTAGGAAATAAGATTTTGTTTACCGTTCTTGCTGTCATGGATAATTCACATGAAACTCATACTTCTGAAATTTAAGTCACGGTTGAGCTAAGTATAAACTGAGTTGAGCAAAATCTATACAGATTGTTATAATTTTTTTCTGTACAACCAAGAAAAGAGAACAATAAAATTAATTCTGAAAAAGGCCAGAAAAAGACTGGAAACGAACGTCAAGCAATTTAAGATTTCAGTTCCACGTTCATAAGTCCTAACAAAGTTAAAAGTGATGCAGACATTACGCATAAGCAGCATATACATCCAAAGTAAAATCATTGTGTAATGCAATGAATTCATGAATAGACAGATGTGTAAAGTACATACAGAGAATGGATAAGTAGGTATATTGTAACTAAATGAAACTACAATGATCCAAAAACATAATGGTCTAGTCGTAGGAACACATTTTATTTTCCGAGGCTCAAATGAACCCAAAGACAAATGATGCAGGATCTAATATCCTTACAATTGGTATCTGAGTAAAGACACATTACCTTCACAATTAGATTTTCAATGACCACCTCCTCCATTGGGCAACCAAAGGATATATTAAGAAAACGTTTTCCTTGTGACAGAAACAAGAAATCTTGAAGTGGCAAACCATATCCAATGGTAAAGGAAGTTCTCCATCCACCAAACATTGGATACCGAGGTTCTATTTCCAGCAATGTCTGAATGTAAAGGAAATATTTTCTCAATCAGAATTAAAATGCAACAATACATTGCCTTAAATAAATAGACTCTCACCTTTGCTGAATCTCCCCATAAATTAGAAGTTGAAATATTTCCGATTTCATCCCTATAATAAATCGAATGAGCTCTTGGTGGCAATTTAGCAACAAGATTCTTGAATGCTGATGCACCTCTAACATGGGGCCGAGCTTGATAGTCTAGCCTGCAATTATTAAAATTAAATATAAAAATTGATGCACGTAATATAAGTTCATACAGAATCGGATTGAAATAAGATATATCATCAATACCTAGAGAACTCTCCAGTAATTAGTGCTCCTGCATGATAAATGTTATAATTTTCTGTCACCTGCACATTCCCCCAATGGGAAATTTCTATTTCTCGGACCAACTCTTGAGCAACAGTAAATGGCTTATTGTTCACAAAGTGGACTACAATAGGAGTATATGAGAAAGAAGGAACATTCTCGTAGGGACCATATTTAATCTCTGAACCAGAGAACTTGGTATTCTCTAGTTTAGTATAAGATTCAACTTTTGGCTCAGGTAGTTTAACCGTGAGTGTCTGAACCTTGACTATATAAGGAGATAGATAATATGCACCATCCTGGAAGGCGAGAAGCTGAATGTCAGCTTGAGTTATCTTTTCAGGGAAGGGTCTCAATATGTGAGTAAATACTGCCTTGACATCCAAACTGATACTTTCTCCTTTTCCCAATTCCTTGGGTAGAGAGATAGCATACCAAGACAATGCTGGGGGCATTCCTTCAGGATTGACAAGTCTGATAGGAAGGCTACCAGAAGAACCTTTTGTTTTTCCTTTTCCTTCACTAATAATCGCCCTCAGATGTGCCAAGTTCTTTGCCTGATGATCAGGGAAGGGCAGCAGAATGTCTGACACAGTGTCAATGCCATTATTTTCCACCTGGAAGGAAGATGAGAACATATCAAATATAATCAATCACAGGGTGCATTTAAACTCACCAAGTATAATTGGCGAAAATTGAACTAGTCATTTATAGATTTGTCCAAGTAGTACATAATCTAATTAAGCAGTGTAAACGGAAACTTAAAAATTAACCCACCTTCAGTGATGTAGTGGTGCGCACTATCTGTGATGATAAATCAATCTGCACCAGGCCATAAGTATGTCAGATATCCGACAACTACAAACCAATGAACAAAAACAATGTACATCGTGATGATAAGGAGCAACTCAAGTGTGCCAAATGTCTGGCATCCATTTTCTATCATCTATTGTCTACAATTTTATGTATTGCTTAAAGAATGAATCCTTTTATTCATCCCTGTTTCTCGCCAACAAAATTAGCTAGGTGGGAAGATTATTCTGCCTGTGCTTATAAATTTGTAGGTAACGACCACACACATACCAAAACACTCAAAATCTCAAACCCTAGGCATCTTAACTACAATCTCTAATAAGGAAAATGATATGGCAAATCACAAAGACAAATGAAATCCAATGCAATGACTGAAAACAACATATATCCGAAAATAAACAACGCGCAACACACCCATATAGAGACTTACGCGTCGATCGAGCTTAGAGATAACTAGATCGGAGAAGGCAGGTGAGAAGAGCACATAAAACGCGATAAATAAGAGCAGTAGATTGAATCGAATTTCCCTCATCTTCTGAGTGGGAGATCCGCCGCAGTCAATTGAGTCAATGTGATAGCTCTGTGTTGCAGGCGTACGAGGATGCTTGTTATACGTTTTCTCCTCTTCAGTGCAGTAAACATAAGTCGCGTGGACGATCTACACACGACTTTAGATCAGCCAGTGCGCGTTTTTCACATTCTGTGGATTTGCTTTCAGCGGAACTGTTTTCATAAATGGCTTTGCAACTTGCAAGATAAAAATAGAATTACTATTAAATAGTTAGTTTATAAAGTTTTACTAATTTATAATATATTTATATCATATTTTTTGTTATTAACAACACATTTTAATTGTAATAAAAGTGGGATTGATCATTATAGTCCTAAAAGAATGTATCAAATATTCCAACTTCTTCGAGACATTATTGAGAGGTTCCATAATTTCAAATGGATAAAGTAACCCAGCCTTTTGGAGACAATAGACTTAGGGCGTGTTCGGTAGAGATTAAAATTGAAAAATTAGCGTTATTGTTGACTTTTATTAGATGAGTAAGACTTAATAACGCCTATATTTTCAATTTTAATTCGATTTTAAGTTTAGTCAAACATGCTCTTAGCGTCCAACATGATATTCTGCTCATGACCTACTGCGTGAGGTTATAATAAAGAAAGATTTATCGACCTTATTTAAATAAAGGGATCCCTAAATAAGTGAATGATTGATGCTGAAGATGAAAGGATATCAGATACTCAAGTCTCCTAATCTATTTGGTAAACGTTCGACGTGGCAAAATAAGACCACTCTTGCTCTTGTTAACTAATTGGCCAGGAACATTCCTATAGTGCTCAAGGCAGTGAAGCAATCACTGGATGGGCTATTTCTGTCTAATGATGAATATGACCATATCATCTACAAATGATAAGTGAGAGGAAAGAGTAGTACCTCTATTTCTGCAAGTCATATTTGAATATGTCTAAAATTAGTGGGAAATTAGCCGGGAGAAATAATCCGCAACAAAACTAAAAAAATGAAAGATATGATATTTTTTCAACAAGTCTGCGTCCGCCCCTGATGCTGAAGATGAAAGCATATCAAATACTCAAGTCTCCTAATCTATTTGGTAAACGTTCGACGTGGCAAAATAAGACCACTCTTGCTCTTGTTAACTAATTGGCCAGGAACATTCCTATAGTGCTCAAGGCAGTGAAGCAATCACTGGATGGGCTATTTCTGGCTAATGATGAATATGACCATATCATCTACAAATGATAAGTGAGAGGAAAGAGTAGTACCTCTATTTCTGCAAGTCATATTCGAATATGTCTGAAATTAGTGGGAAATTAGCCGAGATAAAAAATCCGCAACAAAACTAAAAAAAATGAAAGATATGATATTTTGTCGAAGACCACTCGAGGAATAGAAAAAACACATGGATGACAATTAAATAGAACAAAGAACCTACACTTAGCTATGCATGATCTGATCCGATCAATCTAAATATGATCAAAGTTAAACCTCTCTAGCATTAAAAGAAGAAAGCCTCAATCCATGTGGTCATAGGCCTTAGCTATATCAAGCTTAAGGACGACATTACCTCCTACACCTTCGAATCAAGAGTATAAAGAAGTTTTTGAACCAAGAGGACATTATCACCAAGAAGTTGGCCTGCAATGAATGTGCTCCACTGAGGAGAGATGATCCGTAGAAGTAAAAAACTCAATCGTAAATTTAAAAACTTAGTAATGACCTTATTGAACATTGTACATAAGTTGATGGGTCAAAACTTAAACCACATCAACACATAATTCCTCTTAGGGAGAAAGATAATAGAGGTAGCAGTAAATTCCCTAGGTAGGTAGGTACCCACCAAAAAAAAAATTAAGACTACCTAGAATACATCATCCTGAACAATCCCCAACACTGTTCATAAGAGAAATCATTTGAGCCCGCCAACGATTGGTATCCATACTAAAAATCGCTTCTCGCAACTCATCTAAATAAGGATATCGATTAAGCGCTATATTACCTACCTCTGTCACCAACCTGGGTATGACGTCAGGTTTAATAGGACCAATGGGTTGTGAAGGGATAGACAAGAGATCCTGAGAAAAATAGATAGCCGAGCTCTAAATAGTGATATGGGTATATAACAATTTCCCGATTGAGTCCAAATGGACCTGATATAAGACTGTATGCAGTGTCTCTGAACCATTGAATGTAAAAGTGTGTTATGTTCCCCTACAAATCCAATGAAGATCAACATTGTGCTTCCTAAACCCCTCCTCAATAGCCAAGGTCCGAATCAATACAGCATGTGCATGATGAAGAACAACACAATGAACAGGTGATGCTCCAAATATTAAACACCATCGGCATCATCCACCTACACTCTACATCCATGAGCTGCTAAAAATATCACCAAATACATGGTAATTTTACCTACACAACCCCTATTTCAGCATAAAGAATTTCCCAAAGAGAAGTCATCCTAGTAAGATGAGTAGGAGAAACGATTTCTAAGAGATGAAGGCCAAAAATCATGATGCTTAGTCCAAGTAGTTGATGAATCGAAAGTTGATGCCCAAAATCATCATCAATACACCACTGAAGAAGAATGCGCATGATATGAAGAACTGAGATTCAAATGTCTTACAGTAAGTTGTAGACAAAATGATACAACTAAATGGTTAATCAAAACTCTGTCTAAATGTTTACACACTCTACTGTTACTCCAAGTGTATTGACTTCCATAAAAACCATCATCAAACCACAATTTGTTATATTAGAAAAGTCATTAGTATATCTATTATGTGTATCCCTATGAGCTTGCTATCACGTGTAATGTCATTTAAAATCTCCCATATATAAACATGGCTCATCCACAACGGGGGATATAAAGTGAAGACCCATGAGTCTCGTCTGCCAACATAAGAACGGGTAGCATATACAAGAGAAATATAAGTCGACCTAACCAATCTAGGGTCCTTAATTTTAGTATGTAGGAATTTGGTATGATCAACAAGAACCATTACATTAATCATCACGTTCTAAAAATACAAAATCTTATTTTGTTATATTTTCTACCCATATTAAAGGATAAGGATCGTCAAATAAAGTGTAAAGATTTTTATCAAAACAAACGGCTCCAAAATCACTAAAAACTAAATATGATAGAGCTTCTTAGGTTGCCTATAAGTATGTGTACTAGCTACACTCCTCACATTCCCTATAAGGACACATTAAAAAGATTAAGAAGGAGTATCATCTATCTGACTAGCTCTCAAGGTTACTTGCCTAGAAGGATTAGGAGAATACGAATACCTTAGAATTCTTCTTGTGCTGGAATGGGAAAAAACCATCATCAACCTGACTATCTACCAACCAAACCAAGTCCTCGGTATGAGAAGGTTCTTGCTAGTAGACCACCAACTGAAATGTACACTCTCTATCAGATAGAATATAAGCCTCTACATTATCATGATAGCCGATATGTGGACTAATACTAAGGAAGTATGGAAAGCAACTGTAAATGGTCCCTGAATGGGAGGAGATGACTTCACTCTAAGAATTGTCAACATATACTCAATTAAAAGATCTATACAACTATAAATGAATATGGTTTAGGAGCCAGAGAGTGAGAGATAACTGTTGTATGAGATGAAACCTTAATAGGACCCACTGAAGTAGCAATACTAACATGTCTAAGTTACGAAGAAGACTCAATAGTTGGAGTAGCAATAATAGAATGTGAAAGAATAACATATAAAGCCACTGACACACCAAAGGCTAAAATAGGTGCCATATAAGAACTAGCCAAATGTTGTCAATAAATAACCTCAATAACCAGGACTACTGTCTGGAGGCTCGACAACAACCTTTTTGCCCTTACCAGTTGACTAGTAGTAGCCATAAGAACAACAAGAGGCAAATGCGAGGGACAACAACAATAGGGGAGCAAACAGAGCCCTAACCCTACATCGATTAACACTTTGTTCCATATGTCTACACTTTGAATAGAAAATAGACAATTTCTCATAAATCACAACTTGCCAAAGGATGATGTTCTTACCACGATCAATCCAAACTCTATCAGGTAGCTCATGCTCCAAATTCACATAAAAAAACCCTAGCCTCACTAGGTCTATGCAAATCTGATGTGCCCTCATCAATCCTCAAGGGTACCCCAATAATCTTAGCTAATGAAAACAGAAAACTCTTGGTACACAAATGAACAAGAAACAAAGAAAAAAATATCCACACAGGAGTAGTATCTTAAGCTCAGGATAAAAATAACAAATCCATTTCAAAATCTATATAGGGCAATCCTCAATATACCATGAGAGTATGAAAAAGGCCTATTAAAGTTGTCATTTCGTGTCAAGTGAAATCAAGATATGTATGTGTAAGACCAAGTTTAAAGTTACCACAAAACCCAATAAATGTGAACGTGGATAGTTCAACTAGTGTAGCCTCATCATCAGTAGATAAAATAATAGCTGCCTATTCGAGATGTAGAGTAAGCAGGGATGTAGCCAGAATTTCAATCTTGCGGGGCGAAAATACGGGGGGTGGAGAGGAAATGTTTTTTTAACCAAGAGGATTGAAAACGACGATTTTGAGTACCAAAATAGGCAAGTTAGATTGACTTACCAAAAAGACAATCAGTTTGTCGATACAAAAATAATATGTTCATCTACGTGTCTAACGCTATACAAATTGAAAACATGAACGTTAGATGGACATCAAAAAGACAAAAATTAAACTGCCTATCTATATAATATATGGTAGATATGGCTTGGATATCTGAAATTGGTCTCTCCTTATCCTCTTCACTTCAAACTCGTCAATAAGAGAANTATGACGCAACTTTGTCTAAATGACACTCATAGATGATAATGCACGTTCTGATATTGTTTTTGAACCTTGAAGAGTCAAGACAAGACGAATCAATCTATCATCAAGATTATAACTCATTGATTTTCTTGTCAATGCCAACTGTTGGCACACATCGGGAAGTGTTGTCAAATTTT